CAAAAGTATACAACTTCGCAACCAAGATATTTATTCTTTTTCTGTTCATATTCAAAATCAATATACTCTCAGCTTATTTGGACTTAGACAACGGCGTTCTTTACAAGTTTTTTGTGTTGAAACTACTTGTTTATTTATTCACGCATTAATGTTTTCTTTTCTTTCCTTCTATATTTTCTCATTTTATCATTCGGCAGAATAGAATCAATATTAATAATCATTGCATCAAAAACGCAAAAGCGCAAAAACGAGCTGATAATAGCACTGATAGTCAGTCAGTTTGCTCTGAAACTTTTTCAACTTTTCTTACCTGTTTGTTTCGAGAGGTATGGATTTTGGGTCGCTCCGTTTTCTGCTTGTCTTCCTCGTCTATACATTATCTATCAATTTGAAATATGAGCCCGCTGATGAAAGCTAGAAACCGGTCAAGCAATCAGAAAGCGGTACAGGCATCTCAATACTACTCCTCCTACACAGGTATCCCGTTGTATGCAATGGACTCATTTTTGAACGGCTGTATGTACATTGTTAAAAATGTGAGATACGGATATTACCTCTTACGAAGTGAGCTCTGCTCCTAACAATAAAAGCTTCCAAACCGTACCGGCTCAGTTTATTCCTGCAAGTCGGACAAACGCAGAAAATAATTCGAAAATTCGTGGCCGGGATGCTTTCCATTCATCAGTCTGCCTTTTCAATAAGTCAATCCAGAAGCACTCTACCGTACTAAGAAAAAACGGCGTATAAGCCTTCCGGTGTTGCCAAATTTCCTTTGATCAAATGCGAATTTTCTGCAAAACTTGTGCATATTTCTCGTCAAATTTTATGAAGTAATTCATTCTTAATTTAATCTACATTATCTGAAAATTTCAAGGAAAACTATTCATAGGTTTCTTCAAATATTAACATTTTATGGGCGAAAATTTGGCAACTCTGGAGTGTTCAAACGTCGTTTTTCCTTAGCACGGCAGCACTGCCCGTGAACATCCCGTCCGAGAATCCGATATTTCCTTTTTTAATAAAGCCCGATCGAGGATTTACGGGAGCGAGTCCCGGAGAGCGAGGATACTCGATGCGTGTGCGAATGAGCCTGCAAAAATGCAAAAATGTTTGCAGTTGAAGGTTGGAGGAACTGCGGGCTCGCCGGGAGGGCGGGGGGGAGGCAGAATTTTAAAGGGCGCGCGCTCCTGTCGGGAGGGGGCGCTGAATAATAGAGGATGCGTTTGTTATTTCTGAGCATAATATCGCCGGAGGTCCGCAAAGGATCGAAACGCCGCGTCGAAACCGCGTATCTGCTCGAGGTTTCCTTTGGAGATCGGTGGTTTTTGCCCCGCGTCGGGGAACAGGGGGGGAGTGGGACTGCAGGGACGGCTGAGCAAGGTTCAATGATATCGCGCCACTCCCATCTCAAAGTGTGTAGTGATTGACACGTTGTTATCCGCAGTTATTCGCTCGTAGTTGCCAGATTTTGATGAAAATTAGCATTATTACTGTAGGAATCTATGTAAAAAGTGCTGATTTTCAGCTCAATTTGGCAACTATTATTCGCTCGGGAAGCCGGCTCGATCCGTTGTAGTGATCATCGTTGCATTCGGTGAAAATTTTGATGCGCTTTGTTGCAAATCGAACCGGCGCAGAGTCCGAGGAATCCACGAATCTGCATGCTTTCGACCGAATAATATTCTGCCGTACTGAGGAAAAACGCCGTATGAACATTCGATAGTTGCCGAATTTTCTCTTGGAAATGTTTATTTTTGATGAAACTTAAAAATAATTTAATAACTTGAAAAATTCTGTGAATAATCGGAACAAAAATATTTACGAATTTTCATGAAAATCCGTGATTTGTCACGGGAAATTTGGCAACTTCTGAAAGCTCATACGGTATGTTTCCCTCCTTCCTTACCCACGTATGTGGCCGGCCGTGGTAATATGGTTCAGTCCGCAGAAACTCAGAGTTCTGTTTTTGGTTATTTGAGCAATTGAGCATACAGGAGCATTCTACAAACATTTTGGGACAAAAAACTCAGTGGCAAACCCCCCTCGTCACGCCCTTGAGCTTTGGTTCGGAAAAGTTGTCCTGTAGCCTCAGAATGTAAACTACACTAGGCCTTCCTAAGAAAAGGATCGGTTGGATCGCATTTTGCAGAAAAAGACCAAGAGCATTCCAGTGCTGCTAGGATTGTGCAACATGCATTCTTAGCGATAAAATTAATGGAATGGCGCAAAAAATTAAATTTACAAACGTAATATTTGTATTAAATTCATAGTTTATCGGGGGCAGTGATAAAACCTGTTTAGATGATCAGTTTTTATTTGCAACATGAAACAAGTTGCACAATCTTGGCGACATTGGAATGCTCTTGGTTCCTTCTTGCAAAATGCGGTCCAGTTATGCTTATAAGGAGCAACTATAAATGGACTACATTTTGCAATTTGGACTTATAGATTCTACCCCGGTTTAAAAACAACGTATGTGCCATTAGTTTCCCTATGCACATAAGTGTTTCTTCAGAAGAGCCAGAATTTATAGTTCCGAATTGCAAAATGCAGTCCAAATACGACTCCTGGAGGCTTAGCCGAAGGCCTTGTCCACACGAGCTCGGTTCGCGGAACTTATTCCGAGGAACTTGTTCCCGGAACAAGTTTTAGCTGAGCTAAATTCCTCCAAAACCCGGAACTTCCCCCGTACTTTGAGCTTCTATATATGTTCCTTTTGATGTGAATTTGTTTGTTTTTATTTTTAACGTCCTTTACACGTCTTGACATTTATTTTTGTTACTTTGGCGGCCGTAATAATCTATCATTTTGCTATAATTGTATAGTTTTATTGAAGTTCCGGTTTCAGTTCGGGTGAACTCGTGTGGACAGCATGCCTCGTTTCAAGGAATAAGTTCCGGGAACTGAGCAGTTCGTCGAATAAGTTCCTCAAACCGCGCTCGTGTGGACAGGGCCGAATAGTCCACAAAAACTGCTTCACGCACCATCCGATTAAGTTAAAAAATCGCCAAACTCCTAACACGAGTCACTTTGCTTTCAGTTTAAGTATAGCACCCCGGCGAGAGGTACCTCTGTTCGGATATGGAGACGCTCGTGCAATCTGTGTCACGCGAGGAGATCCATCCTTGTTTTCCGCGGGAGAGGCGTCATTGATTGTGAACCTTTTGTGCTTATAAATTGCCACGTTGTCTCTTAGCTACCCTTGTTTCCTGTCGGATTGTTTTTTTTCCCACTCTCCACCACGCGGCGTTCCCTCTATCGGAAAGAAATTGATGGCGACCGATCAATATCGCCCGGATGGAGGATCTCCTGCCAGTTTACAACATGTTGTGGAATTGTATCGTAAATTTACCGATTCTTTAGATCAGTAAAATAAAGTCTGCGCCCGGGGATAAAATACAAGCATTTTGCAGACCCCAATTCGTCCCCCCCCCTCCACCCACAAAAGAACGTAACTGCATTTTGATTTGCCAACTTTCTCCACGCAAATTGCATTTTTATCAAAAGAATCTTACGCATTTTTAACTGGGAATTTTACCAAGTTTTCTTCTGATCTCATACAAAAATCAGACAAATTATCGACAAAAAATGCAAAATTACATTTATGCAAAAATTTGGATTGTTCGAATCAATTTCGCAACCTTGGAATGGAGTTACGTTATTTCGTCCGAGAAACGACGAATTGACTGGTCTCTTGGTCCAAAAGATTTTCGAGGACTACGTCTTTTTTTGCATAATGATGATAGATCGCGTGTTATCCATTGAAGGAAAGTAAGTTTTGCTTTGCGAATGAGAGTCACTCAAACAGGCATGCTTGGTAAGCGGCTCAACTAGACATTTATGAGGTCAGTATGTTATGCTGTCCGTAGAGACTGTTTAATTCTTGACTAAAAATCTCGCGTGCAGATCCTTTGCATCCCAAAAAACTTGGTTCATCTTTATTAAACTTAAACCCGATCAATGACATAGCGTGCTTTGCAATATATCGATTGATCTGCCATGTAAACCTATAGAAAAGGATCGATAAACAGGGTGTTCGCAACGAACACTTTAATAATCGATTCTTTACCACAGCTTCAAAGAGGGAAATATCGATAATCAATCATTCAAGCCTCGCCACTGAACTCGATCCAAATCCGATATTCAATGCAATATGCTATATTGCTATCATATCCATCGAGTTGAGATTTTTGCTGGCTTTTTCCGAAAAAATTGACACATGGAATTTGCACTTAATATGGTGTCATTTGCTCCGAAACCTGACAGCAGTGTTAGATTTATTTTTGTTTAACACTTTCGTTTGATTAAACCAACACTATGAACTGGACAAATCGCTGCATCTCCCCATGAAGCTTAAGTTTAGTGTGCTCGTTTAGCAATGTTAAAAAATTGAGTACTAGAAATGTGTCAAAGAAGAGCGAAAAAGAGTAAAAGAAAGAAAAACAGTTTCTAAGAAAATTTGGGAACAATTCCCAGATTCAAAAAAAAAGGATAAAACATTTAAGAATGGACAGAGGCTTTAAAAAATGAGGATATAAAGGACAGATTGCTTCCTTCCTTCCGTTGTTGTACCCATCCATTGCACACACTCAACTGATAGAAGCGTGTGCATCTGTGCATAGATTTGTTTTCAAAAATCTAGTTTTACTCATCTCCTATAGTTCAGTTTAATTTTTTGTATTTCATAAAATTTATCTAAAATTGTCGTAGTTCAGTATGCCGTTTCTCAATAGGCATCCAACTAACATCTACTGTTGTCTTTGATTAGGCATTTTATTTCACAAGAGAACGGTTGTCTTGATTCCCTTGAAAAGAGGGAATTTGTTTTATGCCGTAGAGAAAACGAGCACAACGACAGGGATTAGTCGTTTCGATATGTTTGGCCATGTTTTGACGTGCCCAAATGAAAAATTCCAATAAACAAGTATGTCAATCTGTTTCAATAAATTATTCCGTTTATATCTTTTCAAGGTATTAATCGCGTTTTGTTTCTGTTGCAGCTATCACAGACGCTCCAAGCTTTGCAGAACCTGTTGCAAACGTGACTGTGGCTCTCGGAAGAAATGCCTCACTACAGTGCGTCGTCAACAATTTAGGTCGATATAAGGTAAGCTGTCCCTACACAATCAGGGTTTTTTTTTCAGTTTTGAAGTAAATTATTCTGCGTACGAATCCATAAATTGAAGTTTACTCTTAAAAAAGCCGGTGTTGTTTCAGTTGACTCGTAATCATTGCCTCCATTTATTAAACCGCACAGGGGGAAACTCCCATTCTTTAAGGCGATAAATTGACACCAGTTTGTAGGAATGAAAATTATTCGACCATGAATTAAAAAAAACTGATCTTAAAACTTCGTGTCTTCCGTTGTGTGCCCCTCTCTCCTCTACTTCGCGGAATTAAGAATGCATTTTAGGCTGCAAGTCATAGTTCAAAAAGGAGATGTTAAGTATTATCCGATCACATTTCTTATTTTAGCACAAACAATTGTTGTGGGTATATTGATTTGTACGTTCTCTTGCTGCAATGTCAAGCCAAACATATTTAAGTGACATCCAACATGAAAAAAACATTACTTTTTAAAAAAAACAATTATTAAAAAAAATTTAGTGACTTTCCGAGTAAAGGAGCACAAATCCACGGAACATAAACTCCTTGAGATAGGTTAAAATAAGTGCAAACCCCTGTTAAGTACAGACCGCAACTAAATCTGGGAAAGTGAAAGCGAGCTGGAATGCTTGCGCGTTTTCGAATCAGTGGCTATGCAATTTGGCCTACTTTGGAGTTGATATAATTGTATCACATGTGATGGGCCGAAAACGCAGTATTTGTACGAGAAGTTCTTAGAGATTGGAGGTGTTTCCCAAAGTCCAACACAAAATATTTGCCAAAGTGTAGTATCACCTTTATAAGTGTGTTTTGTTTATACTTAGTTTAATTTGATATCCAAAATATCCTGATCGTAATGATCTTTTTTAAACATCAATTAATAATTAAATGAGAAAATATTACATCTGAGAATATTGATGTAATATTTTCTGAAAATAAAAAAATTGCTTGAAAATGCAACATTGTGTGAAATTAAATATTCTGAAAATATATATTCATTACTTATACTTTGTCTGAGCTAAGTGTAACTTTAAGGAGGACCTTCGAGCCACGTGTGCCACTTCGAAACAAAAATTACAAAATCAATAGAGTTTACTCAGCGAAATTACCGCGTCTCATCACAAGAATCATCGGTAAGAGGTATTATTTGGGCACCCCATTCTCCTCCCTATAAATTTCGACGAGGACTTTTAATGCTCAGGATTTGGTGTGTATGATCCGACCACATTTGTTATTTTACCTCACAAAATTGTCACGGGTATATTGATTCATATTTTCTCTTGCTGCAAAGTCGAGCAGAACATATTAAAGCAACAGCCAAGTTTTTCAATGAAATTTTAGTGACTTTCGTGATTTAAGTTGACTTCCGAGGAGGACTTTCGGGCAATTTTGGCCACTTTTCAACAAAAATGGCAAAATCAATAGAGTGTACTCAGCGAAATTACCGCGTCTCATCAGAAGAATTATCGGTAAGAGGTACTATTTGGGCACTCTACCCCTCCCTATAAATTTCAGGGAGGACTTTTAATGCTCAGTTGCCACTTGGAACAAAAAATGCACCAATAAAAAGCATGAAAAGGGTGTCGGCGTTAATTAAAGGGCTTGGCGGAGCGGCAAGGGTGGCAGTGGGAAACAATTACACACCGTTAATTAATGGCGTGGGTGTCGGCGTCTCGCGGCCCGGTGCTCATGGCTCATGGCTCATGGCTCACGCCCGGGCGTCTCGACCGCTCGTTGACCGGTATTAATCAAGCTTTTGAAGCCGTTTAAACCCGTTTAAAGCTTCATTTTACTTTAATTTACGCGTGTGTTAACGCGTTTTTCATTGCTCGATTATTCCCGCACCCCGCCCGGCCCTCCCCCGGCCGCTGCCACTTTACGACCGGGGCGTTGTTGCCAAATCGTCCCGATTGAGCTTCGTTTTTGTTTCATTGAAAGTAGAGTATCTGTACTCAGAGAGTATTGCTATATCTCTGCTCTGTCGTGCTAAGGAAAACGCCGTATGAACCTTTAGGTGTTGCCGAAATTCCTTTTTTAAAAAACGAATTTACGGGAAAAATTGTGAACATATGAGGACTTTTATGTAACAATGACGGATGTGACAAATTACCTTTTTGAAACACTTTCAAAAAACTGTTTGGGCACCGAGAAAATTTTGAGAAAATACTTGTGATGTGATCTTCGAGATCTGCGCATTACACCAGAGGCAGGCACATTAAATTTTTGTGTGACCAAAACGGTTTTTTCAGCGTGTTCCGAAAAGGTAATTTTTTACATCCGCTACTGTGACAGATAAGGCCTCATATTTTCTCTCAATTTTCCGACAATTCTGTTCGCAATTTTATCTAAAATACCTAAAAATTCTAAAGCACAGTATGCATAATTTTCCTCAAAAATGCACGTTTTATCCGAGGGAATTTGGCAACTCTTGAATGTTCATACGGCGTTCTTCCTTAGCACGGCAGTGCTGCTCTTCAATCGGTCCGCTAATTGGAGGTATTTCTACCGAACAAAACTATGTGCATTGGGACGTGAGCCCTGTTATGCATAAAATCTTATAGGTGTCAGGGCTCATGTCTTAATGCGTATAGTTCCGTTTGACAGAAAAACGTCCAATGTAAGGCGTCTTCTGGGGCAACTCAACGCCCTTAGTTGGTATATAAATGAACTAAACTGCTCACAGTTCATTTTTAAAATTCAAGAGAGAGTCTTCCGTGGACTCCAAATCCGATTTTTTACATAATTCGTAAAATATCGATCTACCGAAAATGTTACCTCGTTGATTGAGGCCTCTCTCCCGATAGCGATGAAATGACATAAAAATGCGTATTTTTCGAGATTTGGCAACGATAACATTCAAAGCGGCTTATTTACATGTGCTCTGCTACTAATACTGGAGAGTACACATACAGCTTTGTTAAACACTCGTTCTTTTACGACTGATTCCAGAAGTGTTATAAGATTATATTTACAGTGTTTTTTTAATGCCTGTGCATATCAGCTCTTGCATTTGGAATTTTTCGAAATGTATTCCAAGACAAGAAATCAAGAAGTCATTAGAGCTCGTGGATAGATAGATTAAGGCTTCATCGGATATTTACCATGCTAAAAGCACTGACGTGAAAATGAAAGAAGGCAAAAGAAACCATGAAGCGCGCAAATCATATGCCCATAATTATTTTTACCTTAAATCATTTCTTTATACTTTCTTTTAATAGCCTTAATACTTCAAATTAGGGTTCAAACCAACGTTAAGATTCATTCATAAATTACTGCAATTTTAGATTCTCGAAATGCCGGAGCATCGAGCCTAACACTCAGGTTCGGTCTCCTGTGGTAGTGACACATGTTCAAATTTTTGAGGTTGAAAGGAATTAATCTTGTTCTTAATTCGCATATCGTTGAAAAGCTGATCCGTGGTAAAAAAAAGTATTCAGCAACATTCAAAACCATCAATAAAATTTACTTATTTTCAATTATATTATTGAAATTCACAAAGCAACCCGTGACAATGTGACAAAATTGAATAACAAACACTGGAAATAAAAAATGAGGTCGAAAACACATAAAATAAGTTGGCATATCAAAATAAATTAAGTATTAAAAACTCAGATTTGAAAATCTAATAATAAATTTTTGCCTATTATTTGTCAGTTTTCGCGATGGACAGTGAAAAACTTCTCCAATTTCTAACAACTCGTCAAAACACTGGGTTCACGCGATCCATTATGTATGATACAACTATATCAACTCCGGAGTAGGCCAAATCGCATAGCTACTTAATTGAAGGCGTTTTTAGTTTCCCGGTTGCTCTCACTTGCCCAGATTCAATTGCAAGTTATACTTAACTGGTTTTTTCACTGTTTTCAACTCTCCTCCCTCCCTCCCCCCTTCGAGAAAGATATGCCCGAATATATTAGCCGTAAATTTTTGTTATTTTAAGCAAAAGTTAGCAACGCTCAAACGTCCATACGCGTTTTTCCTCTGCATGGCAGCACGCTGATTATTGAAATTGATATACAAAGTTATAGATAAAGAAGACTAAGGAAATATGGAGCGATCCGATTGGTTGAGGCGGGTGGTTCTCATAGACTAAACGGGAAAATGATGGATTTACTATATGGAGTCTCTCAAGAATTGCCGTTATAGTCTATTAACTATTGACTTCTTCGATTGTAACCACCTGCTTCCAACAAATGATCCGATCCGCTTTTAATCTGCGGGCAGATTGTTCACACTGATAGACAAAAAGGGGATTATGAGTATTGAGTGATCTTTTCGGTTAATTTAAGTGGTTCTTATGGAGTAAGGGGGTAAATGATGGACTAACTAAAGGTTCTCTCGTGATTTGCCGTTAATTAGTCTATTGCCGACCTCTTTTGTTGATCGCAACCACCCCTTTCCACCAATAGGATCCCTTCACATACTTTTTGTCTCCTTTATCTATAGCTTTGTCGATCAATTTTAATAATCAGCTCGCAGAATTCTCTTCGATAGAATCCCGCGTCCGATCGGACGCGGGATTGACTCGAGTCAAACGGATCAGCTTTCAATACGGCGTTTCGCTGCAGGAGTCGACTGCAGGTATTGATTTCAGTTTGGAAAAATATAATGCCACGAGTATCGGATGTGTTGAGCGGAGAAAAGATAAGGAATCGCTTCATCTGCACGGCTGCCTCGTAAAATACGGCATTAAAAGCACGGAATATCTCCTTTAAAAACGGGAGAACGGGAAATAGGAGAAGGAAAATAGTGAAAAGTCCAGGAGTCGATTCACTCCGTGTCGGGGCTCTGAATAAATTAAAAACAAGTAGGCTTTACACCGCCCGCCGCTCAGTTTCAACAAAGTTGATTAAATCTGGACACATGCCCTCAATACTGCTGTGCTAAGGAAGAACGCCGTATGGGACTTTAGGCATCGCCAAATCTCCTTTGATAAATCAAACATTTACGGAAAAACTTTTAAATAGTATTCTCCCAACTTTTTAAAGTATTTTATTC